CAATCTTCCCCTGTTGCTTCCCTCCCTCCAGGTTCCCTAAGATGGAGTGTGTAAGGCAGTGGTGTCAGGCCAGCTTCTGCAGCGGTCTGTCATCCAGGAATTCTTACAGCTGCCAGTTAGCCCATGCAATGCCACTGGGCAGAGGTCAGACCTCTGCGTCAATACCATTCTTTCTGTCATGTGACTTTAACAGATGGGAAATTCATTTCTCAGGGGAGCTGCCTCACAACAAGTCAGATCAAACATGTATTGTTTTTTTCAGGAAGATTCCAGGTATCTGTACCGCAGGATCTTTCTTTATGATCCCTCTAGTCACTCAGTGGTTAGTTCTTCTTATTAAACAGGATAATCCCCATATGACATTACAGTGAACTGCTGGACGTAGACACAGAATCGGTTTCTTTTTCAATTTTAGACTGCCTCATCGCCCCTATAAGTATTTTACAAGCGATGCCAGGTTATTTTACATGGACATATTGTCCAGCCTATTCCAGTTAATGCTTTGGCACTTAGTAATGGCGTACATTAGAAGAGAGCAATGAATGTGTGTGTGTTATCACCCAAAATGAAAGCCGAGGGTCCAGAATTTGCTGTATAAATGTTTGGAGTCAGCACATGTCCCTATCAGTTATCTTAAAAATAGAACCCATTGAATGTTTTAGGCACTCAAAGCATGTTTTGATGATCCGCTACCTTGGAGTCACACTGTGACGCACAAAGAGAAGTTGTTGAACAAGTCGTCCCCTCTTTATTCAAGTTAAAAGCCTGTTGCTGCTTTTCCTATTTAGATGGCCTGGAGGACTGGAGTTTTGAAGAAAATACCTGAAAGAGCAATAAATTTAAATTAAACAATGCAGTGCTCAAATGTTCTGGGTTTCATTCAAATGTTCATGCTCTAAATACTTGCCTTAGAAAAAATAAACACTAAATATTAATAAGTCACTGATTTCGACAGGCATTTTTCATCTCTCAGCACAACTGCTTTTATTCAGCATTATAAAGTACCTAGTCAACATGGCAGAATTGTACCCACTGGAACCCGCTCAACATTATTCCATATATTAAACAGCTCCAGTGCAATTAAAGTAATTTTTTTCTCATCCATATTTTGGATTCCATGTTCAGAAATGCTGCCTTAATAATAAGGAATGATGAACAAAAGGAAATAACACTGAGTTCTGATTAACACTTATTACTATGTACAGTTATCTGTTCAAGTAGGGAGTTTTTATCTCAATGCATTCAGATCAATTCACAAAGAAGTGCTGCCATCAAATTAAATTAATAGGCAGCAGGTTTAAAACAAACAAAAGGAAGTAGGAAATATTTCTTCATGCAGCACACAGTTGACCTGTGGAACTCCTTGCCAGAGGATGTTGTAAAGACTAGGATTTTAATAGGGTTAAAAAAAGAACTAGATAAATTCATGAAGGTTAGGTCGATCAATGCTTATTAGCCAGGATGGGTAGGAATGGTGTCCCTAGCCTCTATTTGTCAGAGGCCGGGAATGGGTGACAGGAAGAGGGATCACTTGATGATTACCTGTTCTGCTCAGTACCTCTGGAGCATCGGCCACTGTCGGAAGATAGGATATTGGGCTAGATGGACCTTTGGTCTGACCCAGTATGACCGTTCTTACGATCACTGTGACTTCCCAGAGCTCTGCCTGCCTCTTTTTAAAAACACGATAGGTTTATACTCTTATCGTAAGTTCTTCAAGCTTTATAGAGTACCATAAAACATACACTTTGGATTTTATTAGTGGCTGTGTAACTTGTACTTGAATTATCTCTGTCAGCTCTGCAGTCAAGGCAAAAAGGACATTATTTTCTTCCAAGTGGGAAATCATTAACACGGTGCTTACTCGGGACTATTATTGTGACTCTTTGGTGGCCATGAATCATCCCTGTCAGTAAAGGCTTCTTGCCAGAATGCTCAGAGAGTTCACTAAAGGAGACTTGTGTGAGAGGGCCAAGTGTTCAAAACAAGCTGTTCCCCGTCCACTGGAAGATGGGAGGGGAGGTAGGCTGCAGTGGACTTTAAAGACGGTTCGCATCAGGGTAATGAACGATCTTCCACGTGGCCCCTTTATGCTGCACCTTGCAATGTGAGCACTACCCGCACGTGCTTGAGTCAGTAAAAATGTGGTAGCCAATAGCCAATTTCCTTTTGAGGAGGAAAACAAGGGCTCAATCCTGTCACTCGTGGCACACGGATGGAGCCATGCACCCTGGCCTGCTGACAGAGGGACCAAAGGGGACAACTCCCTAGGGCCTGGTGATTCAGAAGGCCCCAGGGCTGCTGGCTGCTACAGCAGCAGCAGTGCCCGGAGCCCTGGGCCCTTTAAATCACCACCTGAGTGCCATGCAGTGGGCTGCTGGCAGTGCTGAGGGCATGCCGCAGTCCAGGCAGTGCTCTCCCCGCCCCTTCTGCCTGAAGCCCCGCCCCTTCTGCCTGAAGCCCCACCCCTTCTGCCTGAGGCCCCGCCCCTTCTGGGAGCGTGGCTCTGCCCCCTCCTGCCCACCTTGCCCAGAAGTCTGGTGAGGCTGTTGGCTCCCCTGCATGCACCTACCCAAAGCCCTAGGTTAATAGGGCTGAAAGTTTAAATATTAAGTGTTAGGCCTAAAATATGAAGCGCATAATTTCAGATGCTCCAGGACAAGTTATTCATAGGGTCAGAAGGGTTTATCTCATCTCCTGTATAACACAGACCAGAGACCTTCCCCAAAATGATTCTTTTTGGACTAGGGCAGCGTTTCCCAAAGTGTGGTCCACAGACCAGTACCAGTCCTTAGAAAAAAAAACGGTTCTTAGAAAAATGATCGCGTACAATCCTATTACTTTGTGTGACGGGGTAGCAGCACCCCGCACTGCCGAGCACAATGGCACGGCCCTCTTGGGAGAGAACCTGCCGCGGCGGCGTCTCTGCCAGCCATGCTCCCCGACGGCGGGGCTAGATCTGGCAGGCGCTAGGATGAGGCACAGAAAAGATATTTTTGCATTTTCATCCCTGCAAAAACTCTCCCACAAACATAACTTTGCAGCCTGACCGTAGGGACCGATAGCATCCAGAAGTACTGCAGTGTGGACCAGATCTTCTGCTGATGGATATTGGCTTAGCTATGTGGCTTTCATTAAATTAGTGCTCATTTATATTGCCTGAAGAGTTCAGCCCATATGTGGGGAGAGAGACAGACATAGATATAAACATGTAATCCCAATCTTGACTTCAAGTGGTGTTTTCCCTGACTAAAAAACACAGGACGCTGCCTTTTGGTTTTGTAAAATATATATTGGGATTATTTGGTCTATGCTATAAATCATGCATTAGATTTCCTATCACATCTTCCAAAGACCTTCTTCTTTGGAAGACAAAAATCTCGTTAGCTTTCATCAAGACACGTGGTATAGGGGGAAATCTAAATAAAGACTAAAAGCTTCACGAAGTGTTCAGTATATGTGATGAATTAGTCCAGAGGTTTGTTTTAAACTTGCACAACAACCCAAGTTGTTAACAATTACCATGCTATCCTAATATTATCAGATGGGTGTGAAAATGATATGGTAAACTCCAGGAGAAACCCTACTAATGAATTTCACCTGTGCCTACACAAGGACTTATGTCCCACTGCTAGGATGAGATCTTTTATGTGGTAGAGAAGCCTTATGACTGAAAACTTTAGAGAGGTAAAATTCACTTCATGCGTGGTTCTTCAGATTCACATTACTATTAGCACTTAGGACCCTAAGTCATGGGCTAGGATCCTGACATTAGTAACAAATGAAACTTATTAAGATATTTTTAGGTTTCTAATTTTTCAGTCTTTCGTGCCCAATCTTATGTGATTTTATCTGAAGCAGAGTTTGCTATTTGGACTGCTCACGTGACCAGGGATACTATAAACAGATATTCAGCACTTGAACTTGAAGCAAATTCACGTTTGAATTCAGCCATTTTTGAAAGCTTAGGAAAGACTGTGAATAGCATGAAATCCGCTCCTGTGTAAAGGGCCAACACAAGGCCTCTGCAACGCCCAAATCCTGTGCGGACTGCGGAGGCTTCAGCAGAACCTCAATTATGCATAAGAACTCAAGAGCTGCCATACTGGATCAGACCATGATCCATCTTGACTAGTTTACTGCGTCCCACAGTGGCCTGTACCAGAACTTCAGGAGAAGTGTATAGAACAGAACTAAAGTCAAAATCTGTACCACATATGGAATGATCCATCCCCGTCTTCTATGTGTCTTCTGGTAGTCAGTGGTTCAGGGTTGCCCTAAACATGAGGTTGTTCTATCCTCCGTGACATCAGCCAGTTCTTTTTTTGGACCCCAAATATATTTTTGGCCATCACAACATCCCACATTAATGAGTGCCACTGTTTAGTTGTGCATTCTGTGAAAAAATACTTCCTCTTGTTTGTATTAAACCTGCTGTCCATTAATTTCATTGCGACCCCTTATGTTTTGTAATGTGTGTAAAAGATAAATAACACTTCTCTTTTCACTTTCTCCACACGACTCATGATTTTATAGACATCTCTTATTGCCCCTCTTAGCTGTCTCTCTTCTAAATTGAAGACCGCCAAATCTTTTTAGTCTCTCGTCATATGTCTCAATTTTAGTCTCTTCTCTCAACCATTTCCAACTCCAAGACTTTGTGGGCTGGTTCCCAAAGTAAATTTCAGCATGTATACACAGCAAATTCGTGTATATGATGAGACTGTAAAAGTCATCTCCTGAAGGGAATCCTCTAGAAAATGACCATCATCTCTGTTACTCAGTGAGGGACATACCAGCTGTACTGAAATGTCAGAAGGGTTTGCACAGCTGACAAGTTGCTGAAAACGGAGTATGGCAGCATCTCCATAAATTCTTTGTGCAGCCAAGTGCAGCAGCTTAATATAGACTTAGTAAAACCTTTAGTCCTGCTGTCTCTCCCCCCATTTGCACGGGTCATGACAAAAGCATGACTGTGAGGATGTAACAGCGTGTAATACACAAAAGCATGACTGTGAGGATGTAACAGCGTGTAGCACAGCGTTTTATACATTGGTAGCACAGCGTTTTATACATTTTCTGCAGGTTTTTAAAAAATGTCTGAATTCAGCCAAAATTCTGACCAGGAAGTCAGAATCGAGGACATCGATGAAGATGAAATCTTAGGAAACTTATCCCCTGAAGAGCTGCAGGAGCTCCAGAGTGAAATGGAAGTCATGGCTCCAGACCCAAGAGTCCCAGTTGGAATGATACAGAAAGATCAGACGGAAAAAACTCCAACGGGAAACTTTGACCACAGATCACTTGTTGATTACCTGTATTGGCAGAAGGCCTCAAGACGCATACTAGAGGATGAGAGAGTTCCTGTCAACCTCTTGCCATCTGAGGTAATAAGTGAGAATCATAACTTTTTATTAACCATCTGTTATAAGTCTTATTGTAACCATACTTTGCTAAAGATCAGGGCCTTTGTAACAGTAGGTTTCATGATTTTGTCTTCCTCTCCATTAGTTCCTTCTGCAAATGAAAGCACAGACTCATGTATGAATTTAAACTCTGTCAAATCTTGATTCAAAATTCTCTATAACTATAGAATCTAATTTTAAAGATTACCCCAGGGTTTTTATTTTTACTTTTTTTGCCCTAAATTATTCACTGCGCTTTCCAAAGACATTTTTACTTCATCAAAAACTATATAAAAGCAAATCACAAAATGTAACTCAAGCTTTTTATTTTTCTATAATATATAAATAATATATATATTTCTCTATAATATATAAATACATATCTATATTGGATGGAGTGATTTACCCCAATAACTTTGATATAATTAAGATGGATTAATAAACTCTAAATTTTTGTGATAGTAATAATGAATAGACTTAATGTCACACTGAAAATGTCAGTCTTTTTGACTATGAGTTACATTCACTCCTAACTATGAGCCCAAACTTCATGGGCCAAATACTCAGCAGATGTAAATCAGACAAGTTAATGGAACTACGCTGAAATACACCAGCTGAGGATACAGTTATATGTTTTTTCATGGGCCATAATTCAAGGGTCCAACCCACCTCAGCAATGCACTTAAGCACATTCTTATGGCCCATTGACTTAGAATTAAGCGCATGCTTAAATACTTTGCTGAATCGGGGCCACAGTTATTATGCAGGCCAATTCTCACTGAATATAAGGGGAGATGTGCCTGTTGTAATGCATCAGGATTAGGACTTGTAGGAATTTTAAGTGACTCAAGGGAGAAACACAGTGTGACTTAAACCATCAGTCTGACCTTATATTAAGATGATTGTATTCTAGTACCTGTCAGTACAGTCTATCACTGAAATCCAGTAACAGATTGAATGTCCCAGTAGATTTTACAAAGACAATAAGTCGTCATTTGATCATGGTTGGCCTTTAACGGGTTCATATATAAATGTCCTTCCCTTTATACTTCGGGATGCTGAAAACTGTTGGTTTCTTTAACCTCTATTGTACAAGCAGAGATGAGTCTGAGTTGCACAGTTTCGATCCAGATTTGAACTATTCCAAAGTTGGGGGTTGTGTGGTTCATTCCCAGCTCTACAGCACATTAAATCTGTACTAACATTCTGTGGGGTTTAGCAATACAGCAAACACATAATGATTTATTTATATTTCAGCATCCCCTATTCTGTCGCTCCAGAACTTGACAAATAGCAACCTCTGCTGTTACAAAGGAGAAGTGAAGTATCATGGGTTATCCTGACCTCAGTGGGGCAGGACCTTGGCTACCATCGCTTGCTCTTGTACTTTCAAAGGGCCTGATCCTGCACTCATTTATATATAAATTCTTACCAGAGTCCATGGGAGTTTTAAGATGGACATGGACTCTCAGATTAGGCCTTCTGTCTAATTGCTTACTAATAGCAAGTTGCAGACAAAGTGAAAAGGATCCTGAGTAGCAAAATCTAGTTCTTACCCATCCAGAGGAAAGGACAAGAACATTACATTTTACATGAAATAGATCTTTAGGGAATGTGGCTTCATATTCCTTCCAGGAAGGTATGTCATTATTGATGCTAAAAGCACAGACCGTGCATGAAACAGTGTTGAGAAACCACTTTCCCCACCTAGAACACAAACGCAATTCAACTTTTATTCATCTACATTCCCAGTGGTGCCTCCTTAAACCACTTTCCCCACCTAGAACACAAACACAATTCAACTTTTATTCATCTACATTCCCAGTGGTGCCTCCTTAATGCTAAAACAAAAGACAGGACTATGCAGCACTTTAAAGACTAAGCAGTTAAAAGCAGTTTAAAGCTGTGTTAGTCTTTAAAGTGCTGCATAGTCCTGTCTTTCGTTTCAGCAAGACCAGACTAACACAGCTACATCTCTATTACTATCCTTAATGCTAATGCTCCACAGAAGCCCAGACTCCTACGGCTTGGACACTAAAAGTTCTCCCATAATGTTTTCCTCTTTAGTCTTCAGTAGACTGAGCTATAGAGCCAATATCTAGAAATGTATCTCCAGGGGTTTTTTTGCTACATGAAAAACAAAGATTTATAGAAATACAATAGGCATTGTTATATCAGAGAAAATTAGGACTGATCTAAAAACCACCAATGGCAATAGAAAGATTTTTGTTGACATCAGTAGACTATAGAGCAGCACAGCTACATCTCTATTACTATCCTTAATGCTAATGCTCCACAGAAGCCCAGACTCCTACGGCTTGGACACTAAAAGTTCTCCCATAATGTTTTCCTCTTTAGTCTTCAGTAGACTGAGCTATAGAGCCAATATCTAGAAATGTATCTCCAGGGGTTTTTTTGCTACATGAAAAACAAAGATTTATAGAAATACAATAGGCATTGTTATATCAGAGAAAATTAGGACTGATCTAAAAACCACCAATGGCAATAGAAAGATTTTTGTTGACATCAGTAGACTATAGAGCAGGAATCTGAGGGTATGTCTACACTTGCACCCTCTTTCAAGAGAGGGATGCAAATGAAGACATTCGAAATTGCAAATGAAGCCGGGATTTAAATATCCTACGATTAATTTGCATTATCGTGTTGTGGTAATTGAGTCGAAATAGTGCTATTTTGAAATAACAGACGTTGTTAAGACACAGTTATTTCGAGAGAAAACCCTTCTCTCTAAATAACTGGTAAACCTCATTGTATGTGAAATAAGGGTTATTTTGAGACAAGGGTTTTCTCTCGAAATAACCGCATTTACACCGCACCTGTTATTTCGAAATAGCGCTATTTCAGAATAGCACCACAACGCGATTATGCAAATGAAGCGTGGGATATTTAAATCCTGGTTTCATTTGCAATTTTGAATGTCTTCATTTGCATCCCTCTCTTGAAAGAGGATGCAAGTGTAGACATACCCTAAGAAGTTACTGACATTTGTGTAAAGTTTATATGAGAGATTGTTGAATAACAACAGTATTTAAGTAAGGAATTGTTCATAGAATCATAGAATACTAGAACTGGAAGGGACCTCAAGAGGTCCTCAAAACCAGTCCCCTGCCCTCACGGCAGGACCCAGTACCGTCTAAACCATCCCTGATAGGTGTCTTTCTAACTTGCTCTTAAATATCTCCAGAGATGGAGATTCCACAGCCTCCCTAGGCAACTTATTCCAGTGTTTGATCACCCTGACAGGAAGTTTTTCCTGATGTGTAACCTAAACCTCCCTTGCTGCAGTTTAAGCCCATTGCTTCTTGTCCTATCCTCAGAGGCCAAGGAGAACAATTTTTCTCTCTCCTCCTTGTGACACCCTTTTAGATACCTGAAAACTGCTATCATGTCCCCCCTCAGTCTTCTCTTTTCTAAACTAAACAAACCCAATTCCTTCAGCCTTCCCTCATAGGTCATGTTCTCTAGACCTCTAATCATTCTCATTGCTCTTCTCCAATTTTTCCACATCTTTCTTGAAATGCGGTGCCCAGAACTGGACACACTACTCCAAGTGAGGCCTAACCAGCGCAGAGTAGAGCGGAAGAATGACTTCTCGTGTCTTGCTCACAACACACCTGTTAATACATCCCAGAATCATGTTTGCCTTGTTTGCAACAGCATTATACTGGTGACTCATATTTAACTTGTGGTCCACTGTAACCCCTAGATCCCTTTCTGCCGTACTCCTTCCTAGACAGTCGCTTCCCATTCTGTATGTGTGAAACTGATTGTTCCTTCCTAAGTGGAGCACTTTGCATTTGTCTTTATTAAACTTCATCCTATTTACCTCAGACCATTTCTCCAGTTTGTCCAGAAGATTTTGAATTATGAGCCTATCTTCCAAAGCACTTGCAACCCCTCCCAGCTTGGTATCATCTGCAATTTTAGTAAGTGTAATCTCTATGACGATATCTAAATCATTGATGGAGATATTGAACAGACCTGGTCCCAAAACAGACCCCTGCAGAATCTCACTTGTTATGCTCTTCTAGCAGTTAATTCATACTCAAGCCAGAAATACTATGAACACTGCTTCTTTTTTCAAAAAGTATTCTCTTATGTATTGGGGTATGTCTAGACTACATGGCTCCGTCGACGGAGCCATGTAGATTAGGTTTCTAGACATAGGGAAATGAAGTGGTGATTTAAATAATCACCGCTTCATTTAAATCAAAATGGCTGCCGCACTGTGCCAATCAGCTGTTTGGCGGCACAGCGTGGTAGTCCGGACGCTCCGCGGTCGACATCAAAGGCATTTGTTGACCTCCCAGGTATGCCTCCTGGGATGAGTTGTACCTGGGAGGTCGAAAAATGCCTTGAATGTCGACCACGGAGGGAGCGTCCAGACTACCGCGCTGTGCTGCCAAACAGCCGATCGGCACAGCGCGGCAGCCATTTTGATGTAAATGAAACAGCGATTATTGAAATTGCTGCTTCATTTCCCATTTTTGAGTACACTAATCTACATGGCTCCATCGACGGACCCTTGGAGGGAGGGAATAGATATGCTACACCCACTTGCTATGTTTTTATTTCTGTGCATAATGAATGTAACAAAACCATTTCAAATTATTTCAGCTATTAGCATTTTGTCTTCTGTAGAGAAACGCTGTAGAGAAGTTTGAAGAAAATGCTGGGGATATTGACAATATTGCTCAGAAAAGAATGGCAGGAGACACTACAGAAGATGACAGAAAAGAAACATGTTACAAAAATGAGCATCTTGCACAGGACAAGGCTGGTTCAACACAAAATACGGGAGAAACAAATGAAGAAAGAAGCTATAGAAAGACAGAAGATGAGGAGGAGGAAGAGGAGGAGGGGGAGGAGGAATATGACAATGAAGAAGAAGAGGAAGAGGAGGAGGAGGAGGAGGAATCAGAAGAGGAGGACGAGGAAGAGGAGAGGAAGAGGAGGAGGAGGAGGAGGAAGCAGAAGAGGAGGACGAGGAAGAGGACGAGGAGGAGGAGGAGGAGGAGGATGAACAAGAATCAAGAATGAAGAAACCACGTGGACATGATAACGACAATAGAGATCAGGTAACTAAAGAGCCATGTACAGAATCAGGGGAAAAGCCAGAAAACGATGAGAAGAAAGTCTCAAAACTACAAATTCCAAAGAAGTTAGCTGTTGATACTAGCTTTATTAAATTGAGTGCAAGACCTTCAGGAAACCAGACCAATTTAGATGAGAGCTTGGAGAAGGTCCGGAAAAATGATCCAGATGTAAAAGAACTCAACCTGAACAACGTTGAAAACATCCCAAAGGAAATGCTGGTGGACTTTGTGAATGCCATGAAAAAAAACAAGCATGTAAAAACATTTAGTTTAGCCAATGTGGGAGCAGATGACAATGTAGCTTTTGCTGTGGCCAACATGCTACGTGAAAACAGGAGCATCACTACTCTAAATATTGATTCAAATTTTATCTCGGGCAAGGGAATTGTTGCAATCATGAGATGTCTGCAGTATAATGAGACGTTAACTGAACTGCGTTTCCACAATCAGAGGAACATGTTGGGCCATCAAGCTGAAATGGAAATTGCCAGGCTTCTAAAAGCCAACCCTAAGCTGCTGAAGATGGGCTATCACTTCGAACTTCCAGGTCCCAGGATGGTAGTTACCAATCTGCTCAGCAGAAATCTTGACAGACAAAGACAAAAAAGGCAAGAGGAACAAAAACAGCAGCAATTAAAAGAGCAAAGAGAGTTAATAGCCATGTTGGAAAATGGACTAGGATTGCCTCCTGGGATGTGGGAATTGCTGGGGGGACCAATGCCTGATGTAAGGATGTGTAGCTCAATACAAGCCCCCAAGCCACCTGTCCCTAAAATTATGCCTATGAGCAGGAAAAATGAACCTGCAAGAAAGCCGCCCCCTGAAAAAGAGAGCAATGAGGAACCTGCCTCCTTCAAAACGGTTAAACTCAAGAGAACTCAGCGCAAGCCCACTATTCCAGAATACGTGGAACCCGCTGAAAAAACGAGTCTCAAAGATGTGATCAAGACTCTTAAACCAGTCCCAAGAAAACGACCACCTCCTCTGGTTGAGGTAACCCCAAGAGAGAAGCTCTTAAATGACATTCGTCAGAGTAACGTTGCTTATCTTAAACCGGTAAGTGTACAAGAAACAGCATGGTAGCAACAGGCAAATTCTATTTTAAGGGCTTCCACAAAAGTAACTACAAAAATTGTGAGCTTATTCATTTTCAGGCACATAAACACACGTTTGTGGTATGCAAGCTGGCATTTTTGTGAACAGATTTTGAGCTTTAGTGACATGGGCATTCCACAGCCTAGGCAGGGGAAGGCATTGTCCCGCCCATGCTCCGCCCCCAGAACACCAGCTGTAGGCATTCTGGGGGCGAGTGTTGCTGCCCCCAGTGCCCACCTTCCCTGTGCTCTGGGGCCGGAGAGGCTGGGGTGGACGTGCACTCCCTCCCTCCCTGTGGAGGAGTGAGGCTGGGGGCCTGCCTCCCCCATCCGTAGCTGCGCTGACCACCTATCATTAGTCACTTGTTCCTATACGCACAAATCTGATGTTTGCACAGGCAAATTAATGCACCCACACACTCTGCAGGTGCAATTATTAATGCCTGGTCAAGAGTTGGCCGCTGTGCTTTATGGAAAGATTCATCATCATTTTAAAATTAAGTTCATATGTGTTTATGGAATTTTGATAAAGGGTTTGTTAGTTGCCTCGTGGGCCATTATGAACTGTTACATTAATTCATAGTTTAATTCACACACCTCACATTTCAATAACTTCACTTCTGGCATGAGCAAGTGTATCAGCATTGAAATCAAGGGAGACAGGTCCTCTTTCACCCATGGTGAAGTTGGTGTGTGAAATGTTAATAATGTGCATGCATTTAACAAAATAATATAGCAGCCTTTGCCCTCTGTATATCATTTTAATGACTGGACTCATTCCTGTTCCCTTTTAAGTCAGTGGCAAAATTCTTCGCAACAGGAGTAATATATGAGTCTGCTGTGCAGATTTTACAGAATATGGAGCAAAACTATGAAAAGGCCTAGTGATTTGGGATACTCCCATATCTGAGCATCCAACGTGAAATATTTTGAGGCTGACTTTCAGAGAGTGGTAAGCCCTCAACCTCACAAAACCAGGCCCCTTTCAGAAGACTCAAAATCCTAGCCTTGATGTCAGGGGTAGGGAACCTTTTTTGGGTCAGGAGCTGCTGACCCACAGAAAAATCAGTTGGGGGCAAAAAAAATCCCCCCTCAACTCCTCACTGACGTGGCTCCAGACACTCTCCACATTCTCCTCGCATACTAGAGCCTAGTGGGGCCCAGGCTAGTAGATTTTGTGTGCTCTAGCCCCGCAGGGAGGCAGCAGGGGGCTGGAGCGCCAGTGTGGACTCCCCAATGTGGGGGGGAGCCCTGAGCCTCAGGCTGGATCCAGGCAAGCCACCAAGGGCCGCATCCAGCACCCAGGCCTTAGGTTCCCCGCCCCTGCTTTATGTTTAATGTTCTGTTCTCCTAGGCTGTCTCTACAATGGCGTGATCTTGCGCCAAAATTTGCTGCCCATCTGTTCTCCTAGGCTGTCTCTACACTGGCGTGATCTTGCGCCAAAACTTGCTGCCCTGCACCAGAAATCTGACGCTCCTGCTCAGGAATAAGCCCTTTTGTGCAATTGTTCTTGCACAAGAGGCCAGTGTAGACAGGCAACATGAATTTCTTGCGCAAGGAAGCCCTATGGTTAAAATGGCCATCAGAGCTTTCTTGCGCAAGAAAGCGTCTACACTGGCATGGATGCTCTTGAGCAAAAGCACATGCCAGTGTAGACGCTCTCTTCTGGAAGAGTTTTTGCACAAGAAGCTGCCAGTGTAGACGTAACCCCCTAGAGTCTAATACAGACCCCGTAGCTCTTATTTGCACAAGAAGCTGCCAGTGTAGATGTAGCCCCCTAGAGTCTAATGCAGACCCCGTAGCTCTTACGTAAGTGATCAGGCCCATTAAATTCTGTGAAAATAATCATTCAAATGGAATTGCTTGTGTGACTAAGGAATGGCCCCATGAGCAAGGGTGTGGAGGATCCATCCTAAATTGCCAAAAGGTGCCATTCCGGTTTCTCAAGTATTTGACACCTGCTTCAGAACTTCCTCTGATTTTTTTTCCAATGTATTCATTTTTTCAAAATGACAAGCGATATTGTGGTCTCGTTTACATGTATAAAAACTCAGTGTTGAATTGAATTACAGAGGCATAACTGAGACAAGAATCTGGCCTGACGTGAAAGAAGATGAGAGGACTTAAAATGCTCTCTGCCTGTACATTAAAGGGTTAATGCTTCCACTCTGTCCCTAAATCATATCGCTGGAGTTTTTAATACTGCAGTGGCAAGGATTATTCAAAGACTGATTTAGCTGTAAAGAAAGGCAGTCCTCGGGACTTCTGACCTTTAGATTGGTGAATAAGTGTTGTATCTTGGATCTTGTCTCATTGCTAGAACTACTCACAGCTCTGAGTGCCAACCTTGGGTCAGACTGTCAGAAAACCAGGCAGACACCCCAAACGGCTAGTGTGTTCCATGATCAGATTTCTCCAAGCCAGCCAAAAATGTGAACTCCTGGATCACTATACCAGTCTCACCATGGACAAGAGAGACTCCTTAGGCTTGCCATTGTAATCTGGCCACTCAGACAAATTTGGTTTTGTGATAAAAGTTTATATAAACCAAAAATCACATCAAGTTCCTCCCCGTTCCAAAGGATGGGCCACTTACCACAGATCAATTTGGTACTCTGGATCTCACCCCATAGACAATGCTGGCAGCCCATTCTTTAGGAAACTAATTGAAAATTTATTAGCTAAGAAATGAGTTATTTAGAGATTAAAGCTGGTAAAATACATGTACAAGCGAGTCAACGTTTGTAAGTGGAAAATGAAAAGCTTTTCAGGGTTATCCAGAATCACACTGGGGATCTCCATCTTCTTCTCTAGACATTCCACCCCGTTAGAATCCAACAGAAGACAATCTGAACAATGTTGTTACCCACATGGGCCAGTAAATTGTCATTGTCCAATGCAATGAGCCATGCTTTGAAGCTAGCACTCTTCTTTATTTACATTTCCAAGCCTCCAGTCACATTTGTACATAATATGTAACAGCAAACAAAGTCCACTTACATAACATTAAAAGGTTAATGTAACAGCAAACAAAGTCCTTCATTAGTTTTCATGAAGTTCACATATCAAGTATATTCCCATACTTTTGATCTAGGGTTAATTACACACACACTTTTGATCTAGGGTTAATTACTTACAGGGACATACATAATGTAACATGATAGCAATCAATAGGTAATAAATCGTAAAGCCAATGCCATTAACATTTCCTTTGAATTATATTGATATGCAAGTGAATTGACCTGACTACACTACAGGATGCTCCTTTGATTTCTATTAGCTTATGAGTGACTTAGCCTTTAATCCTATCCTGAGCTGCACCGAGGTTGAATGTGTCACACATTGGATAAATAATAGAGGGCCTGCTTTTTAGTACATTCAGCTGTATGCTCAACAAATATCCACACAATTGCATGTCTGAGCAGGGGATGTTTCCCCCAGGGACTGGGGTTCCCAATTACGAACATTATCTAATTTCATTTCCCCCTAGAGAAAACGGTAGCATCACAGTGGTTGTAGCCACAATAGCATAATACGTATGTTTTTGCTAGGAATAATTCATCCTAAAATATTTGGGAGACCCAAGCTGCAATATTGCCAACCTCAAGTCTTCAAAAATCACCAGTTACGCTGCCGCAAAATAACAGATTTGCATTTCTTTTTATTTGCCTCCTGATATTTGAGCCTTTCAGGGTTGCATTTGTGAGCTTTTGTCCACAACCAAAAGGGATAGAAATGTACTTTAAGGGGAAGAGATTGTGTGAGAGAGATTATTACTTAGTTACAAGACTCCACATGCCAAGACTTTCAGAAACCATCAAATATCAGGAGGACTGGCTACCCTAGGGCTGGTCTTTGGGTTCTTGTTCATTATTGTGCTATTTTCTTTCCCTCATTCCAACTGGGAGAGCTTTTTCTGCTGGTTCTGCCCTTAACTGGGAGAGCTCAGATGCCA